CCTTTAAACTCTCCCTCCACACCCTATACCCTCCCATGACTCATACTCCAGACTGGGTGGAGACCCTGGCCGGGGGCCCTGGGGGAGGGCTTGGCGTCTCTAAAATGTGGATGAGGATTTTTTTTCTGGGCCTGGCATCCTTGCCTGCCATAGTTGAGGATGAAAAGGACTTCTGACTTTCAGAATTGCCTGATCTGGGGTCAGGGAGGGAGTCTGAGCTAGTGAAGGGAGAACTGGTGTGGGTGACTGGGCCATGGCCAGAGTCTATAATTATAGAGGTTGGGCAGACAGGCAATTAGTATCTCTTGGGGCTGACAGGCTGGTGGGGTTTGCTCAGTAGTCTGGAGGAAGGGGAACTAAGGAGGAAGAGGAGGTGGAAGGCCTTCCACCCAGACAAAGAGGAGGTGACCGGCTGGCAGTTTCCTTTGGACCCGGCTGGGGAGTAGGGATGAGATTCTGTAAGCCTGTTTTGTAGGCCAGGCCTTATACCTTTACAGGAGAAAGAAAGAACATGGGAAGCTAGGAAGAGTAACTGATGCTCCCTGAGTCTTCACCCAGTGTCATACTTACTGGATTAGGCTTGGGGTGGGAGAGAGAGAGAGGCAACTCCCCAACAGTGTTGGGAAGATCCCTCTGCTGGTCCAGAACGGTGGCTGGCCCAGACTGAGAGGAAGCAGTTTGGGGACTGTGCAGGAAGTGAAGGCCATGCCTCTAATGTGAGCTCCCTTGGAGAAGGTGATAATGGAAGCTCCAGCAACGAGGGTAGGAGTGGGGGGATGGGGGAATTATAAGCATTTCGAGAAGGGTGGAGTCTGCCCACCCTGTTTCCTGATGCCCTGCCAGGTGTTTCCTGGCTTATGTTCCTTCCACCCCACCCTTTGGGAGAACTTCTGCTTTCCAGTAAGCACAGGCACCATTCATTGCCACCAGCAGGGCACATGGGGATGGATACCTTGAGAGCTGTGCCCCTCTTGTCAGTATTTGGCCTCCTCTCTGCCCCATTTCCCTGCAGAACTTGGCTTCTGTAAACTCTCAGTACCCCCATGTTATTATCCAAGGAGAGGGAGGCATGATGGGAGGAAAAAGTCCACCCTTTCTCAGGGACCCATCAGGGCAGTAAGAGGAAAGAGTGTTGGTGGAGTTAATGGGGGAAGGCTGGGAGAGGAGCAGGGTCAGAGCTGGAGAAAAGAACCTTCAGAAGGGGTCTGATGATGGGAATGAAGGCTTACCTCATGCATCTGTCACCTTCCTGCAGGGTCTCCCATGGGATTGCTGGGACCTTGCTGGGTGAGATGGCACTGTGTGCAAAAAAGCGCCCCCCAGGTAAGACAGGCAAAGAGGGGGATCCTTGGGACCATCAAGAGTGAGTGTTGTGGGGCCGGCCCGGTGGCGCACTCGGTAGAGGGCGGCGCTCCCGCTGAGGGTTCGGATCCCATATACAGACCGGTCCGCTCACTGGTTGAGCGCAGTGCGGACGCAACACCGAGGGTTGCGATCCCGTTGCCGGTCGCGGTGTGGGCGCGACACTGAGGGTTGCGATCCCGTTACCGGTCAGGAAAAAAGACAAAAAGGAAAAAAAAAAAAAAAAGAGTGAGTGTTGTTATGGCTCAGTGAGCAAAGGAAAGAGGGGCAACTTGTATGGGTGTGAGCAAAGGTAAATTAAAACCCCTACCCATCCTGGGGGGAGCCTAGGAAACCGAATTCTTCCTCTTGGTCCCTGAGCGGGGCTCTCTGCCGGGAAGATGCTGAGCACCCCACCCCAAACACTTGTACTCTTATCTTGGGGTACCAGCAGCTCCTACTCTGGCCTGGGGGACCCTGGGAGCTGTGTTCTCATCTCCTCTCCGTACTCTCACCTCCTCCCCAACATTCTCTCATTTTTCCATCCACCCCGGTCCTCCTCGCTTTCTTGAGGGCGGGGGTAGGGGATATGAAAGCGGTTGCCCCAGACAACGTTGGCAGTCTGCTCACCCGCATTGGCCAGGGGGCCCGGGAGGGGAAGGGGGAGGCGGGGTTCCCGCGCTGGCTTCGCCTACGCGGCGCGCTGGCAGGCTGCTGCCCCTGCAGTCCGGGAGCCGGCGGGGGCGGAGCCCGGGCGTGATCACTGTGGCCCGGGCCACTCGGCGCGCGCTGGCGTCCTCGGGGGACATTGGAGGCGGTGGAGGCGCAGCAGCTGAGCTCGCGGCGTCCCCGGGCGGGCGAGGGCGGCCCCGAGGATGGCCTGGGCTGCAGATGGGGCGCGCGCCCGATGGCCCGGGTTCCCCTCTGAGCGGCTGCAGCACCTGCATCTCCCCGGGTGGTCGCCCCATTGGCACCGCTGAGGCCAAGGATAGAAAGACAGTCCACCCTCCCCCACTCAAACCGGGATCATGACGGTCCCCAAGGAGATTCCTGAGAAGTGGGCCCGGGTCGGGGCGCCTCCCTCTTGGAGCCGAAAGAAGCCCTCTTGGGGGACAGGTAACGGGAGTCAGGGCCCGGCAGCTCCCCCCCCCCAGCCGGTGATGTCGCCTCTCCAATCCCCACATTTGCTTGTCCTCAGCCTCCTTCTCAACCTTCCCTGACCCTCTTTCCAGACCCAGAGATCCCAGCTCTGAGAGGTTTAGTCCCTACCTTTTTCCTTTGCATGGTCTTTGGTGATTTCTCAGGGGTCTGCCTCTGGGGAAGTTTCTGGGAGTAAAGTGGCTCACTAGGCAGAGGACGCTGTGGCCTGGGGTTTTCCTGCATTATGCTCTGCAGGGGTCTTGGGGGGTGCAGGAAGGGGTTTGGAATGCTGCCTTTGGCTCCCGGGCAGGTTTAAAGCATTGTGTTTACTGCCTAACCAAGTTACCCCCTTTTCAGCCTGAGGTCGTGGTGACTCCCAGGAGATGGGCTGGGGAACCCTTCATAGGACAACCCCTTGTTAGGGGACCTGAACTTGGTGTCTGCAGTCCTGGACTTACGGAGTTTCAGGATAGGTATAGCTAGATAGGTGTCACTGACTGAGTGACAGATGAGTTAAGGGAAATGTGTGCAGGTGGTACAAGAAAGGTTACAGTTAGAGAGCAACTGTTTCAATTACATCTAATGCCTTCTTTTTTATCTCTGTTTTAGTCTGCATGACCCATATCCCTGACACTCCCCCTCCCCTGTTCTCCTACTTGAAAATGAGCTTTGAAATAAGGTGATGTCATTGAGGGCCAGTTAGAAGCTGCTGCTGGTGACATGTGACACGCACAGGCTCCTGTAGGGGGTACTGCACATGGGGCTGGGATGCTGCCGCAGAGCATCTCCAGGGCACAGTGACCCTATGTCTTGCCACCCACCCCACCTAGATTAGGGGGAGAGTAGTTCCATGGCTAAATCTGCAGTGGGTCCCTAGGGGGAAGGAAGCTTTGTGTCTTCAGCCACTTCTCCTTGATAATGACAATGTATGCATTAATAATAGCAGCAAAAGGATCTGGGGATTCCCAAGACCGTTAATGGCTAAGGCTCATCCAGAGGGGTGAGGAAGAGGAATGAGGTGCTCCCAGCAGAAGGCCTTGACAATTGGGGCGAGGAAAAGAGAAAACATCCTGTCCTGTGAATGTAACCCACAAAGCAATGTGGTCAGGCTGGTGGCGAGAGGTGGACTAGAGGGAATGATTAAATGACACCTCAGGTGTGGAGCTAACTCCTTAAAACTGCATTCTATAGAAAGAACCAGGAGGCCTCAGTGAAATCCCCACAAAGTGGGGTGGGCCTGACAAGGTGTCGGTCCAGGCCTCAGTTTGCTCCTCCTGACTGCAGCATCATTCTGTTGCAGAAGAAGAAAGGAGGGCGCGGGCTAATGACCGAGAATACAATGAGAAATTCCAGTATGCGGTAAGTGACTCTAGACCACTTGTTCTGTCTTCCTGAGTCAGAGAGGAGAAAGGTGCAGGGACATCCTAGATTGGGACTGTGGACTGACTGGGAAGGATGCTTGTGGGAGGGAAGGCGGCTTCCTCAGCCACTCTCCATCTGCTACTGTGCTGAATTTTTCATGCCTTCACCTGTCAGTGAAGCAGAATACGCTGACCCCATGAGACTCCCTTCTCTCCTTGTCTTTCCCTCTCCCACACCTGTGGTTGCTGGCTTTGGGGGCAGAGGTTTGGGGAAGTGGAAGCATGGAGGAGGCAGCCTCAATCTGGTTCTGGGATGGGGTTGGAAGGTGCCTCGTTATTTTCTCTCCCACTACCATAGAGTAACTGCATCAAGACCTCGAAGTACAATATTCTCACCTTCCTGCCTGTCAACCTCTTTGAGCAGTTCCAGGAAGTTGCCAACACCTACTTCCTGTTCCTTCTCATTCTGCAGGTGAGTGACCTATAGTAGATCCTTTGCAACTCATAAAGCCCAATAAAGCCAAGGAAGAGGAAGGTCTAGGGGAACAAAAGGTATCAAATGGGGCCTTAGAGGCATGCATCTCTTTCCTCTTTTCAGTTGATTCCACAGATCTCTTCCCTGTCCTGGTTCACCACCATTGTGCCTTTGGTTCTTGTCCTCACCATCACAGCTGTTAAAGATGCCACTGATGACTATGTGAGTTGTTTTCATTCTTCTACCTTTTCCCAGTCACCCTTCCCCCAACTCCCCATCCCTACCTCTACCCCCAACTCATAGCTACCTTCACCCAGCACAATTCCTTGGTGACCTTGACATCCTTTACCTGGTCCAGCTAGATCCATGATATCTTGGCTGAGGGTGGGGAGGGGGAGTCAGGAAGAGAGTTGGTCTGTGAACAGGTATATGTGAACTCTGCGTGCCCTGAGTTCCACTAATCCAGATCCCTTGGAGCAGGAGATGGTGACTTACCTTTCTTAGTGTTTTCTTTTTTTCTTTTTTTGGCGGCTGGCTGGAATGGGGCTCTGAACCCTTGACCTCGGTGTTACAAAGGCCAAACTCTAACCAGCTGAGCCAACTGGCCAGCCCTGGTGCCTTACCTTTCTGAGTTCTTTTCTTTTCAGTTCCGCCACAAGAGTGATAACCAGGTGAATAACCGTCAGTCTCAGGTGCTGATCAATGGAATGTGAGTGGCTATTGGCAAGGAGAGTTCTGGGGAAGGAGGGGTTCCCCAGGGAACCTCTCTAGCTACTGACAGCCTCCTCACTGTCTTCTTGTTGCCTCAGGCTCCAACAGGAACAGTGGATGAATGTCTGTGTTGGTGATATTATCAAGCTAGAAAACAACCAGTTTGTGACGGTAAGGGAGAAGGTGTCCCTCTTGGCCTGCAGGGCTCTTCCTCTTTGGCTTTTTGGCTGAGAGGGATGCATCTTTCCTGATTACTGTTGCCTCTTAAACACCCATAGAAGGAAATTTTCTTTCCTTTTTTTTTTTTCAAGGAAACTTTCTTGAGTAGGGGGCTTCTGTGTCATGTTAATATGCCTGGGACTAGCCATTCATGTGCTTGGAACTAAGCAAACCAGGAATGCCCAGCAGAAGGAGCGATGATCAAAGAGTCCATTGAGGGTAGAGGTTTGGGTATTTGGACTTCTCATTAGATGTTCTCTCTAGGCGGATCTCCTCCTCCTTTCCAGCAGTGAGCCCCATGGGCTGTGTTACATAGAGACAGCAGAACTCGATGGGTAAGTGGCATGCTCAGTGGCAGCCTTCTCCTTCTGCCTCCTTAGAGGTAAAAAGATTATTTACTTATTTATTTTATTTTTTTTAAGATAACCGGTAAGGGGATCCTAACCCTTGACTTGGTGTTGTCAGCACCACGCTCTCCCAAGTGAGCCACGGGCCAGCCTCTAAAAAGATTATTTTTGAAAGAGGTTCCTAAGTCTGGGCTCTGTGCTTTGTAGAAAATTTAGGGGTAAGAAAGGCTTTGGATTTGTAGAAGTTTTACCCACCCAGTGTTTTCTGGGCTAAGCAGTAATACCCTATGGTCAGTTGCCCCCAGGTAGAATCTAGAGGATGGTGAGGAAGCCAGGACTCAGGAATACTGTCCTTCCAGAGAGACCAACATGAAAGTGCGTCAGGCGATTCCAGTCACCTCAGAATTGGGAGATATCAGTAAGCTTGCCAAGTTTGATGGTGAGTTAATTTGGAGAAGCTGCCTTCAGGTGGAGGAGGTGGGTTGGGTTTTGGGGTTTAAATTGTGCCTTTTCCTTTTGGCTTATTGCTGTGATTATGCAGCTCCCTGGACTTTTTTGGGGTAGGAATGTTGCGACTGCCAGGTGGCTACCACTTGCTTTTGAGCTGATGGTCATTCTAAGGGAGATTTGTGGCTCATCACTCCCCATTTGCTGTGCATGTTGAGAGAAATTCAGCTTATTCTTTTTGCTTTTTAGCTCGGAATAATGATATATAGTTCTTTTTTTTTTTTTTTTTTTTAAAAAAAGATGACCGGTAAGGGAATCTTAACCCTTGGCTTGGTGTTGTCAGCACCACGCTCAGCCAGTGAGCGAACTGGCCATCCCTATATGGGATCCGAACCCGTGGCCTTGGTGTTATCAGAACCACACTCACCCGAGTGAGCCACGGGCCGGCCTGATATATAGTTCTTATAACAAGACAAACTGTACAGAGTGTATAAGAAAAAGTTAATATCCCCTCCTGCCCTTCAATTCTACCCTCCTTAGGTAGCCATGTTAACTGATAGTTCAGTGTGTATTCATCCACACTTTCTATATATGTTTGTATAAATGTATGTAAACATAAATAAATGGGGACCGTGTTATACCAAAATCTCTGCAACCTGCCCCTTTTTACCTATTTAAGTACTTCATAAGTATCTTATTACTATATAAAGAAATTTACTGTGTTCTTTTCAATAACTGCATAGTATTTCATAGAATTGATTATCATAATTTATTCAGTTATTCCTTGACCATCCAGTTATTTCCAGTCTTTTACTGTTCAAATAATGGTTCAATAAAAAATGTTGTGACCTATGCTATTATTTCTGTAGTATAGAGTCCTCAAAGTGGGGTTACGGGGCCCAAGGGCATATATACTTTTTGTTTTCTTGTGGCTGGCTGGTATTGGGACCCAAACCCTTGACTTGGAGTTATCAACACCGTGCTCTAACCAACTGAGCTAACTGGCCAGCCTGTACTTTTTTTTTTTTTTTAAAGATGACCGGTAAGGGGGTCCTAACCCTTGACTTGGTGTTGTTAGCACCACGCTCTCCCAAGTGAGCCAACTGGCCATCCCTATATAGGGACCTGAACCTGTGGCCTTGGTGTTATCAGCACCACACTCTCCCGAGTGAGCCACGGGCTGGCCCCCAGCCTGTACTTTTAATATTAGTTCATACTGCCTTATTGTTTTCCTAAAACGTTGCAACTGCTCACACTGCTGCTGTCAGTGTGTGGACGGGCCCATACCCTTATAACCTCTCCCTCAGCTGCTTTTTCTCTTTGTTTTATTGTCTTGAGGTCGGGCTGTAGCCTGAACCTTGAACAGTGGCACTCTTATCTCTCATTCAGGTGAAGTGATCTGTGAACCTCCCAACAACAAGCTGGACAAGTTCAGTGGAACCCTCTACTGGAAGGAAAACAAGTTTCCCCTGAGCAACCAGAACATGCTGCTGCGGGGCTGTGTGCTGCGAAACACCGAGTGGTGCTTTGGGCTAGTCATCTTTGCAGGTGAGCCTCCTAGCATCCAAAGAAAGGAGAGTAAGAGTTAGTGAGTCAAAAAAAAAAAAAAGTCAGTGACTCAGCCTTCCCCCAGAGGTGTGGAATGAGGCTGGGTGGACTAGTACAATATATTAGGTAAAAATCCTCCAGCCCTGAATATAAGCGCTTGTCCAGCCAGAGTCTCTGTTCCACTCTGATGTCCTGCAGTCTGGGGATCAGGGCAGAAGCCCAGAGGCAGATTTATTTTTTGGCTTTCCCAGCGCTTCTCATTCTTTTCTAGGTCCTGACACTAAGCTGATGCAGAACAGCGGCAGGACAAAGTTCAAGAGAACAAGTATTGATCGCCTAATGAATACACTAGTGCTCTGGGTAAGTCTTGCCACATCTCGTTTCCTGCCCCTTCCTCTCTGGTACCCCCTGGGTGGTTCCCTTTTCTCCCATCTCTCTTCCCTGGCCAATAGTCAGTTTTCAGGTTTGGCTTTAAAGCCACTGGCAGGTCAACTACTTAAAGACAGTGTTTATTTCAGGCTTCTTTCAGACTTGGAAGATGTTATTTAAAAAAAACCTTAGGACCGTGCATGAATCAACAACTTAAAGAAAGCTAAAACAAATCATCCGTTCTCTGGATTCCAGCTATGATGATGACTTAGTGTAGCATGTGACCTTCTGTTTGCTTTTGCCAGGGACAAGGAGGCCTTCATGAGGATGGAGAGGGAATTAAAGAAAAATTTCCATTTGGAAGATGGTTAACAGGGTCTTTTTCCCCCAACTTCTAAGAATGAAGGATCCCAAAGGAAAAGTTTCTGTTTTATTTTTTGGCAGTTCCTGAATCCTTCTCTTGTTTAGCTAGAAATCTGAGCTTCTTGTTGGGCTCTCCTTCCTACTTGCACCCCCACTGTCTGCTGCCACCCCCATATGCCAGCTTGCACTGCCTGGGGCCAGCCTTTGGTGAAATAGTTTCCACCCTGACTTTAAAGGATTTGTAGAAACCCAGCCTGGAGGAGAGTGGTTGTCTATCATACAGAGGCTCACTTCGCCCCCTGGTGGTCTTTGGGTACAGGGTGATTCCTGTTTTGTTTAAAAGCCTCAACAGTGGAGGCAGCTTTGGAAATAGGTATTGGAAATCAGATAGTGGTCTCAATTTTTTTCTTTTTTTTTTGTCTTTTTCGTGACCGGTAAGGGGATCGCAACCCTTGGTGTGGTGTCGCCCACACTGCGCTCAGCCAGTGAGCGCCCCGGCCATTCCTATATAGGATCCGAACCCGCGGTGGGAGCGTCGCTGTGCTCCCAGCACAGCACTCTCCCGAGTGTGCCACGGGCTCGGCCCTCAATTTTTTTCTTTTTTCTTTTTTTTTTTTTTGTCTTTTTGTCTTTTTTTTCCGTGTCCGGCAACGGATCGCAACCCTCAGTGTTGCCCCCGTACCGGACCGGGGACCGGCAATGGGATTGCAAGCCTCGGTGTTGCTCCCACGCCTCGCTCAGCCAGTGAGCGGGAGCCGGTCTGTATGTGGGATCCGAACCCTCGGACGGGAGCGCCGCCGCGCTTCCCAAGCGGCGCACTATCCAGTGCGCCACCGGGCCGGCCATCAATTTTTTTCTTTTAATCACCAAAAATTTCTATGAACGTTCTTCAGCTACGCCAAGCTTTATAAAATTTTTAACCAGTCAAGAGATCTACATTTATGAAGATACAGTTTGTTTCCCTGGTTAAAATAAAGCCCATCTGTATGAGATAATGAACATTATAGTAACCTGGCATTTTTGTTGGCTTGTGGAGGCTTAGCCCAGGTAAATGGTAATTTACAATAAGCTTTTCTGGAATGTTGAAAGTAACTCACTCCCACTGTTACCACCTTTGAGGACTACTGAAGGTTCCATGATGCCAGATTGGGAGCTACTCAGCTTTATTTCAGCTTCCCCATCATACGGATGGGAACACATTAATAGAGAAGGCCACATGGTGGTCAGTGGTAGATGAGAACCTGTCACCAGTTCTGAGCTCTTTCCAATAGTGCATGCTACCAGTTTAAAGATACCCGAGCTTTTGAGGGCTCAGGGTACAAGTGATGACCTCTTTCAGGGAGGCTCTTTTGAAGGCTTCCCAAGTGTCAGCCCACCTCTGTTTCTCATTCCTCCCCAGATTTTTGGATTCCTGGTCTGCATGGGGGTGATCCTGGCCATTGGCAATGCCATCTGGGAGCATGAGGTTGGGACACGCTTCCAGGTCTACCTGCCTTGGGATGAGGCAGTGGACAGTGCCTTTTTCTCTGGCTTCCTCTCCTTCTGGTCCTACATCATCATCCTTAACACCGTTGTGCCCATTTCGCTCTATGTCAGGTATGTGCTGACTCTGCTCTGGGGTCTCTCCATGGAGCCCAGGTGGCCCCTTGGAATACTTCTTTTTTTTTTTACATGAAGCTAAAGTCCTCCAGAAGGAACTTGGACTTCTCTTCTTTCTGTACTGTGAATGTTTTATGTTATCTGTTTATCTTTGTGTGCAGAGCAAACTTTTTACCATGGTATCCTGGCACATGTGACTGTATTAGAGCAGAAACCATACTGATTTATTCAGCTCATATTTATTGAATGCCTGCTTTGTACAAAGAAGCATGCTGGGTGCCCTGGCACATACAAAGATGAATTAGGAGGGCCGACCCTGTGGCGCACTCAGGAGAGTGTGGCGCTGGGAGCGCAGCAGCTCTCCCGCCGCGGGTTCGGATCCTATATAGAGATGGCCGGTGCGCTCACTGGCTGAGTGTGGTGCGGCCGGTCACAAAAAAAGGACAAAAAAAAAACAAAGATGAATTAGGAATGGATCTCCTTCTTTCTAGCACCTTAAGTCTAGTAGAGGAAGGAAAATTTAAACAGTATAAAACAGAAAGGGAACAAGTGCTGTAGAAGTCTTTCTAGAATCTTCTGTGTGAAGCAAGGGGACACAGAGATTTGCAAGGTGGCCTCTGCCTTCAAGGGCAGCAGACGGGTCAGAGAGGGGAGATCTATATAGTGAGTGTCAGGCACTGAAATGCCATGTGGGAGACACGAAGTGCCAGGAGGGCTGGAAGAATATTGCTCTTTGTGTGGTTAATCAGAGAGGACATCTCTGAAGGGGAGGCAGTTGCACTGGGCTTTGAGTGGTGACTGAAATGGGTGAAGGTGGAGCCAGAAAGGGGAGAAGAAGGAGAGGGCTAGAAACAAAGGCATGGAGGGCCGGCCCGGCGGTGCACTCGGTGGAGTGCGGCGCTCCCGCCAAGGGTTTGGATCCCATATAGAGACCTGTCCGCTCACTGGTTGAGCGCGGTGCGGGTGCGACACCGAGGGTTGCGATCCCGTTACCGGTCACGAAAAAAGACAAAAAGGAAAAAAAAAAAAAAGAAAAAAGAAACAGGCATGGAGATGTAAACCTAGGAATGGCTTATGGAACAGTTTGGTGGGAGCATGGACCATGAGCGAGGAGTTGTGGGAGGGAAAGCTGAAAACACAACTGTGCTCCTGATTATGGAGGCTCCTAAATCTTTGCTTGTGGACTTTGTTCTTGGTAAATGCTTAAAGGTTTTTGAAAAAAACTAGAGATGCTTTAGGAAGTATTGGCTGGCAGTGGTATGCCCATGAATAGGATCAAGGAGACATCTAGGATGTTTGAGGTAGAGAGAGTGTTCATAGGAGCTGGGACTGTGAGAATGAAGGGCAGGAGAGGGATGCAAGAGGAGGATGAAAGAATGGCCAGAAGAAGGAAACTTTCTTTCTCAGTGCCTTGCGCTTGGGGTAAGGGAACCTGACATTTTTAAGGAAATGCTTTGTGGAGGTGCTCAAAATTTCCCATCTTCCATCTGTTGTTCACACAGATTCCCCAAATAGTTCTTGAGTCTGCTCACTAGCCACCAAATCCTAGTGCTAATGACAGTGAGTAGAAGATAAAGCATGTCTGTGCTGAGGTTGTACAGTTTGGGCTTTTCACAAGCATTTAGAGGAGAAAAGGTTCCTGGTTTAGTCCTGCCTTCTCGTTAGCCCTGTGACCTTAGGCCAACTCACAATCACTTGGGGCCTTACAGGATTTCAGTTTTCTCACATAAAATGGTAACAGTAATACCTGTTTTATCTTCTTCATAGGGATGTCTTGATGTAAGATACTGGATTGGAAAATACATTTTAAAGATTAAATTATTATACAATATTGGGTGGTAGCATGTCCATCATTATTTTATTTTATTTTATTTTTTTCTTTCTTTTTTTTTTTTTTTTGTCTTTTTTCGTGTCCAGCAACGGATTGCAACCCTCAGTGTTGCGCCCGTACCGGACCGGGACCGGCAACGGGATTGCAACCCTCGGTGTTGCTCCCACACCTCGCTCAGCCAGTGAGCGGGAACCGGTCTGTATGTGGGATCCAAACCCTCGGCGGGAGCGCCACTGCGCTCCCAAGCAGCGCACTGTAGCAGTGCGCCACCGGGCCGGCCCGTCATTATTGCAACTCCAGTTCTATATTACCATTGGAATGTTTTCTCACTTACAACCTAATTTTGGTTTCCCATCTGTGGGCTTTGCTGTCCATGTTCTGTAACTAATTTCACTTAAAGCCCTTGGTGGGGAGGAGGGGGGAAAAAAAAGCCCTTGGTTGCTGCCTAAGAAAGTTTTCTTTCTCAGTCTCATCAGGTTACAGCGTATATTAGAGGGCGGGCGGGAGGGAGATTGATAAGCTGCATGGGGACAAGGCTGTGAAGACGTTTCCAGCTATGTCATTTTTTGCCTGATAATGGGATCCTGATAGGAGCCTCAGTCAGGTTGGAAGCAGGGTTCCAGATACCTTGGCTGCAATGGACCTAAACACAAGGGCCGTTTCTGGACATGCTAACAGCCCATTACCAAAGGTAATAATTAGCAAAGAGAGGGTGTGAACAGACCTGGAGATGTTAAAAGCACAGTGCCATTGTAAATTGGTATTATCCCCAGATTCTTGAGGCCCCTCTCCCTCTGGAATCGGCTCCTCAGCTTTGCCTCGGTTCTTTCTGAGAGCCACAGGGTCGGCGTGGAGCCCCGAACCCAGGGTGGAAGAAGAGTGCTCCGCCTGGGTCAGGGCAGTGAGGAGTGGGCTTCAGAGCCTTCTCGGTTTCCTTTCCCCAGTGCGGCCCCCTTTGAAGTGGCGTCTTATGTTGCTGTGGCGTGCACAGCGCCCTCATTATTTCTCTCTCTCTTTTTTTCTCTCTCCCTTCCCTCTCGCACTTTCTCTTGTTTTTCTCTGCATGGTTTCTGTATTAATAGTTCTGAGGTAAGAACTGGTTGAGTGCCTTGTCTACAGTCCCTTTTGCTCCTCTACCTGTGCTGTCTGTCCTGCCTGCCCAGGCCCTTTGCACCTTTTTGTCTGGAGAGCATCAGGAGGGTTGGGTCGGGGATTTCCTTTGCCAGCTGTAGGCTGCTGGCTCACCTGCAGGCTCTCCTTGCCCTTTCCCACCCAGGTGCCTTCTCCATGCCCAGGTGTCTTCTCCATTTTCGTTTCTCCCCAGGCAGAGGGCCTGCAGCGAAGGCCCATGTGGGTGGGGTGCCTCCTCCCCTTCCTGCCCCAAGCCTCACCTCCTGTCCCCTGTGCAGTGTGGAGGTCATCCGCCTGGGCCACAGCTACTTCATCAACTGGGACAAGAAAATGTTCTGCATGAAGAAGCGGACGCCCGCGGAGGCCCGCACCACCACCCTGAACGAGGAGCTGGGCCAGGTGGAGTACATCTTCTCTGACAAGACAGGCACCCTCACCCAGAACATCATGGTCTTCAACAAGTGCTCCATCAATGGCCGCAGCTATGGTATGGCACTGCCACTGGGGATGGGGGTTTGCATCTCGCCTGGAAGGACAGTGGAACTGGGACTTCCACAGTTCATCTTGATGTTTATTTACTTCTTTTGTACTTGGGTCTGAGGGGCCTTGAAAGGGTTCGTGCTGTATCCTGTGTCAGGAAGCAGATCCTGAGAGACCTTCCCTTGTCCTCCCCTGGTTCCTGCCCCCTGGTCTCAGCTCCAGGCAGTAGGGGGGCTCGTTGGCTGTTTGAAGTGAAGCCCAAGACACTGGCCTCTGGGCATCCTGGCCAGGTTGGACCTTGGCTACCCCGATGGAGTGCTAGACTCTCCCTGTGTTGCTGCTCAGGGTCCTTGTGAGTCTCTGGAATGCGACCATGATCTTCCCAGTGTGGCCCTGCTGCAGTGGCCTTGTGGCTGAGCTGCTGGGATGGTTGGGCTGGAATGTGTGGAGCTGACTTTTTGTAACTGCTTTCTATACTAACCAGAACCTTATGGCCAGTCTTTGGAGTAGACATAAAGAGTGCAAGGCACTCGAGGAGGCCTGGGAGCCCTGGGTGGGGGAGGTATAGAATTGGAGCTGCCCTGAGGGTAGAGCCTCCCAGGGGACAGGGGTGAGCACAGGGATGGGGAGCAGTGGACACCATGACTCTTTCATGGCCAAGGTCCTGGGGTTCTGGGGTCCAGGGTGCCTGTTGCCTTCTGTCCCTCAAGTCAGCAGTGTGAGTGTGGGTGACATCTGCTTGACTATTAGGGTTGGGGGTTCCAGGTGCCTGAGGGGTTCTGCACTGGATATTTCTCCCCTCTGCTCTAAAGATCTCCAGCCCTGACATTGCTTTTCCTTCTGTCCCGGCTGTGTGTAGGTGACGTGTTTGATGACCTGGGACACAAAGCTGAATTGGGAGAGGTAAAATCCAGTCTCCGTAATTCTATGTGCCAATGAAACATAGGGTACCTGACAAGTAACACTTGGCTTAGTTAGGAGCATTGTGTTGTCTGGGCGGGAAATGGAAGCTGCTTGGAGAAATGTGTGTTTTGGGGCTGGTCCATGGCTCACTCGGGAGAGTGCGGTGCTGATAACACCAAGGCCACAGGTTCGGATCCCATATAGGGATGGCCGGTTAGCTCACTGGTGAGCGTGGTGCTGACAACACCAAGTCAAGTGTTAAGATCCCCTTACCGGTCATCTTTTAAAAAAAAAAAAAAAGAAATGTGTGTTTTGGGGCTGGTCCATGGCTCACTCGGGAGAGTGCGGTGCTGATAACACCAAGGCCACAGGTTCGGATCCCATATAGGGATGGCCGGTTAGCTCACTGGTGAGCGTGGTGCTGACAACACCAAGTCAAGTGTTAAGATCCCCTTACCGGTCATCTTTTAAAAAAAAAAAAAAAGAAATGTGTGTTTTGGGGCTGGTCCATGGCTCACTCGGGAGAGTGCGGTGCTGATAACACCAAGGCCACAGGTTCGGATCCCATATAGGGATGGCCGGTTAGCTCACTGGTGAGCGTGGTGCTGACAACACCAAGTCAAGTGTTAAGATCCCCTTACCGGTCATCTTTTAAAAAAAAAAAAAAAAAGAAATGTGTGTTTTAAGGAGAAGAATTGGTGGCAGAAGTAGGAATTTTGAGGTACATAGTGGACAGGATCTTGGGCTGTCCTACCCAGAGTTGGGAGGGCAGGAACAATCCCTTCCCTGGGATGCAGCCTGGCAATCCAGCCTTTCCTAAGAGCCTTTGTACCTGTTCCAGAGGCCTGAACCCATCGACTTCTCCTTTAATCCTCTGGCCGACAAGAAGTTTTTATTTTGGGACCCCAGCCTCTTGGAGGCTGTCAAGATGGGGGACACCCACACGCATGAGTTCTTCCGCCTCCTTTCCCTATGTCATACTGTCATGTCAGAGGAAAAGAATGAAGGTGAGCTGAGGAGCTGGCTCGAGTCGGGCCTCTCTGCTCTGCTGTGCTCTGCAGTGCAGTGGGGCTGGGGCATCCTGGGTGGGGCATGTGGCTGAGAGGGTGGCCACTGCACCACACGCGTTCTTCTTCCTCACCCAGGAGAGCTATACTATAAAGCCCAGTCCCCGGATGAAGGGGCCCTGGTCACTGCCGCCAGGAACTTTGGTTTTGTATTCCGCTCTCGAACCCCCAAAACAATCACTGTGCATGAGATGGGCACAGCCATCACCTACCAGCTATTGGCCATCCTGGACTTCAACAACACTCGCAAGCGGATGTCAGTCATAGGTGAGGGCAGGACTGGGGTGCTGGGGGTATTTGGGTAGCATACAGGCCTGGAATAGGTGTGGTGTGTTGAGTGACTCTTGTTGATGTGTTTAGGTTGGGGATCTTTGCTTGCCTTAATTTTTCTGGCACTTTCTCCCTCTGCCCCATTCATAGTGCGGAATCCAGAAGGGAAGATCCGACTCTACTGCAAAGGGGCTGACACCATCCTGCTTGAGAGACTCCACCACTCCACCCAAGAGCTGCTCAACACCACCACTGACCACCTGAATGTAGGTGTGAGGAGAAGAGGAGCCAGCCTGGTGGTTCCGCTACTCCCAGTGTTGGAGGGCAAGGATGGGGGTGTGACTTACTTCTTTATTTTTTGTGGCTGGCTAATACATGTTTGTTTTGTTCTGTTGTATAAGTTTAAGGTGTACAATGTGATGTTTGATGTACGAAGTGATTTCTATAGTCAAGCAAATGAACACATCCGCCATCTCACATAGTTACCTTTCTTTTTGTGGGGACAGAGTACCTAAAATGTACTCTCCTAGCAAATTGCCAGTGTACAGTACAGTGTTACTAATTGTAGTCCTCATGCTGTACATAAGCTCTCTGGACTTGCTCAGTGTAGCATGTCTATGTCTGCCTCCAGGAGTATGCAGGGGAAGGGCTAAGGACCCTGGTGCTGGCCTATAAGGATCTGGACGAAGAGTACTACGAGGAGTGGGCTGAGAGACGACTTCAAGCCAGCCTGACCCAGGACAGCTGGGAGGACAGGCTGGCCAGCATCTATGAGGAGGTCGAGAGCGACATGCTGGTACGGGCTGCAGGGTGGGCTGAGGGTGGGCAAGGAGAGTGCATGCCTGTGACTCTTGTGCCAGGGACCCTTGTGGTAATTTCAGCTGCTGGGTGCAACAGCCATTGAGGACAAGCTTCAGCAAGGGGTTCCAGAGACCATCGCCCTCCTGACACTGGCTAACATCAAGATATGGGTGCTAACCGGAGACAAACAAGGTGAGAGTCCAGCAGGGCTGAGGAAATTGTGTCTGGACAGTGGCCTGTTGGACCCTTGCATGGAGCCGAGGACATCAGGCAGGAGAGCATGCTGACCTTGTTGGATGCCTGTCCGTAGCTCCTGCTTTCTCTCTTGGTAGAGACGGCCGTGAATATAGGCTATTCCTGCAAGATGCTGACGGATGACATGACAGAAGTGTTCATTGTCACTGGCCACACTGTCCTGGAGGTGCGGGAGGAGCTCAGGTAAACAAGAGGCCCAAGAGAGGCAGATGCTCTGCAATGTGTCCAGGGCTTAGGCGGGGATTTCTGGACCCTGTCTGGGCTCGAATCCCTACTCCCCACTGCTGTCCTGGAAGACCACTACCATCCCATTTCCACCTTCACAGGAAAGCCCGGGAGAAGATGATGGACTCATCCCGTACTGTAGGCAATGGCTTCACCTACCAGGAGAAACTTCCTTCTTCCAAGCTCACTTCTGTCCTGGAAGCTGTTGCTGGAGAGTATGCCCTGGTCATCAATGGTCACAGCCTGGTAAGTATCACCATCCTTAGCTTGGGTAGTATCTTTCCAGAGAGCATTATATCTTCTCTTGTCCTCATTCCCCTTGACTTCAGAGGGGGCTGTGGTCTTTAAGGGGACTGGGAGGAGCTGAGACTTCTTCTCCTGGGAAGACTGTGGCTCTCTCAGGTGTCTCTGTGTTCCAGGCCCATGCATTAGAGGCAGACATGGAACTGGAGTTTCTGGAGACGGCGTGTGCCTGCAAAGCTGTCATCTGCTGCCGGGTGACTCCCTTGCAGAAGGCACAAGTGGTGGAACTGGTTAAGAAGTACAAGAAGGCTGTGACACTTGCCATTGGGGATGGAGCCAATGATGTCAGCATGATCAAAAGTGAGTGTGAGCTGTGCAGGTGTATAGGCTGGGCAGGAGGGTAGGACGGGGCCCATGGAGGTCTCGGGACCAGGGAAGAATGACAGGGGAGGGGGGTTTGTAGCTTGATGGGATCTGAGTGTGTGGCCCTCTTCACCTTCTTGTCATCACTTGTTCCTGCAGCGGCTCACATCGGTGTAGGCATCAGCGGGCAGGAAGGGATCCAGGCTGTCCTGGCCTCTGATTACTCCTTCTCTCAGTTCAAGTTCCTGCAGCGCCTCCTGCTGGTGCATGGGCGCTGGTCCTACCTGCGCATGTGCAAGTTCCTCTGCTATTTCTTCTACAAGAACTTTGCTTTCACCATGGTCCACTTCTGGTTTGGCTTCTTCTGCGGCTTCTCCGCCCAGGTAGTGAGCATTCCCGGTCCACTGTGATGCATGTCTGTAAACTCCTTAAGGGCAGAGGTTGTATCTGTTCATCGCTCAGTCCCCCAGGGCCTAGCTGTTGGCTGGTGCATGCACTTAAAAAAATGCTGAAAGAGTAGATAGAAAATTCCTTAGGGCTCCCTGTATGTCACATCAGCTGCCTTCCTGGGCCCGATTTGCATGCTCACTCCTCTCTTGCTCCCTGTTCTCTTCCAGACCGTCTATGACCAGTATTTCATCACCCTCTATAATATTGTGTACACCTCCCTCCCAGTCCTGGCTATGGGGGTCTTTGATCAGGTATGGAGGAGTTTCATGATCAGGTGGAATGGGGAGAAGGACGTTGCTGTGAATGAGTCACACTGATATGGTGGGTGTATGATATTTGTGCCCACTGCCTGTGGTCACTTGGAAGGCAATTCTGTCAGCTGGGGAGGGTGTGACTGGTTCTTCCTCTCATCTGTAACTCCCTTGGGCTATTGAACAAAGATTGATTGGGGGCAGCTGGATGAAGTTGGTTCTAACTGTCAAAGACTTTGGAAAAGGGACAGTGTCTGCCTTTGGCCATCCTGAGTCAAAATGGCAGCTTCTGTAGCCTCCTGTGCCACATGGTCCTCCCCACACAGGATGTCCCGGAGCAGCGGAGCATGGAGTACCCTAAGCTGTATGAGCCAGGCCAGCTGAACCTCCTCTTCAACAAGCGGGAGTTCTTCATCTGCATCGCCCAGGGCATCTACACCTCCGTGCTCATGTTCTTCATCCCCTATGGAGTGTTTGCTGATGCCACTCGGGATGATGGCACCCAGCTGGCTGACTACCAGTCCTTTGCAGTCACTGTGGCCACATCGCTGGTCATTGTGGTCAGTGTGCAGGTATGAGGCAGTCCAGGAACTGCCTTCTGCTCTGGAGAGCAGAGCCTCCTGTCCCTGGGGCTGCTCTGGGCACCACAATTCTGTTTCTGGGGGAGCTGTACAGATTTTTTAGGGAGTGCTCCAGCCTATGACAATACCTACTATTTTCAGATTGGGCTAGATACAGGCTACTGGACGGCCATCAACCACTTCTTCATCTGGGGCAGCCTAGCTGTTTACTTTGCTATCCTCTTTGCCATGCACAGCAATGGGCTTTTCGACATGTTTCCAAACCAGTTCCGGTTTGTAGGTGAGTTCCTGTGTCTTCCTCTTGAATCACAACTGTTCTGGGCATAACAGGGTAGTCAGCCAGCCTGCACATCACAAGCATTTATTCAATACTCCTTATGCACCAGGTATTCCGTGAGGTGCTGTGGGGAAGTCAAGATGTGTCTGATCCAAGCCCTGCCCCCAAATAACTTACATATCCATGAAAGTGAGGAGCAGCATGACTGGCCATGGGGTGTTGGGGATCCCAGGAGGCCAGGGGTGGCAGACTTCAAGGTCAGCATGGTGGCTAGGGACAGCCTCCCAGAAGAAACTGCTGTGAGTGGAGCCAGGACTGGGAAATCGGATTCCAAGCTGGAGGGCTGGAAGGATGAAAAGGCCACTTGATTCTGGGCAACAGAGAATGCTCCAACTAGGGTGGGGCAAGAGCCCCCTTTGACAATCAGTGGGAGAGAGGCTAGAAAGGTAGGACTTTTGTAGTATCAGGGTGCCAGGCCATCAGGCTTGCATTCGACTTGCCAGGAGTATGTATGTATATATGTATTTAGAGGAAGTGGGGAGTGGCGCCAAATGTGCTTTAGAAAGATGAAGCTGGCAGTGATGGCCTGTGACGAAGCTACTGTAGTGATCAAGTGCAAGGCTGTACAGAACTGGTGCCAGGGAGGCTGTGGTGGGTGGCAAAGAGGAGCTGGTTGGGAGGAATGAGGTGAAGGAAGCATTTGCTTCAGATCTGTTCGTTCACTCATCCAGTGGGCATTGTATCAGCACCTATGGTGTGTCACTCATTATTTTGGATGCTGGGGGTGCAGCAGGGAACAAAACAGGCAAAGCCCTTCTGGATTTTATGTATGAGACAGACTGATAGTTTGCAAGTAAACAGACATAATGTCTGGAAGTAATAAGTCCTATAGAAAACATCAAGCAGGGTAGAGAGTGACAGGTGTAGTCCACAAAGACCTTTTGAGGAAGGGACCTAGGCACAGAGAAATCTGAACACAGAGAAAAGGAGCAAGCCATGTGGGTCTCTGGGAAAGGAAATCCAGGAAGAGGACACAGCAATACAAAGGCCTTAGTCGGGGGCTTGTGAGGTCGTCTGTAGCTGAGGAACTGGGGAGGGGTGGAGCAAATGAGATTGGGGGGCTCTGGGAGGAAGTGGGAGAGGGATGAGAATCAGTCCAGACTATTTAAACCTTTATAGGTCAGAGTAAGAACTTTGAATTTTAATATAAATGTGATAGGAAGCCATTGGAAGGTTTTGAACAGGGAAGTGTCATGAACTGTTTTGTGTTTTTAAAGGATCACTCTTACTTTTTTGTGGATAGTAAAGTATAGGGGCAAAGGTAGAAGTGGGGAGACCGGTTAGGAGGCTATTTCAGTAATCCAGGTGAGAATGATCGTGGCTTAGAATGAAGAAATGAAAGACACAAGAAAAAAAGAAAAACAAAACAAAAACAAAAGAAGGGGGAAGAAAGAATGATGGTGGCTTGCAATAGAGTGAAAAGTGGTGGGTGGGATTCCATAGATATTTTGGAAAGGGAGCCAACAGTCTGGATGTGGGATCGGGGCAGACAGAGATGAATCAAGATTGATGCAGGGTTTTCAGTCGGAGCGGGAGAGTGGGTGATAGGCAGCGTTTCCTGAGCTGGAAAGACACGGAGCAGATTTGGGGTGGAGGAAACAATAGTTCACTTCTGGCCATGTGAAATTTGCAATTCCTGTTAGGTGTTCAACAGAGATGTCAAATAAGGCCTGAAGAAACAGGTTTGGAGTTTTGACAGAGTCTGGAGCCAAAGTCACATTCGGAGATGTACATTTGGGAAGTGGGCAGTGACAAGAGGGAAGCAAAAGATGACTTTTGTGTTGAGACTAGAGAAGTAGAGCTGCCGGAAATAGAAATGGGGAAGTCAGGGGGCTGCCCTTCTGTCCACTTCATTACTCCTGAGGCTACCAGCTCCTCTCCACCCCCAGGGAATGCCCAGAACACCCTGGCCCAGCCCACGGTGTGGCTGACCATTGTGCTCACCACAGTCGTCTGCATCATGCCCGTGGTTGCCTTTCGATTCCTCAGGCTCAACCTGAAGCCGGATCTCTCTGACACGGTGAGAAGCCAAGCTGTCCACTTCGGGGGACAGAGCTGGTGTGGCAGGAAAGGCCTTTGGCCTGAACACTCATGTGGCTGTTTCTGGGCTGTGTGACTGCTTAGTATGTCAGTGGTAGTCATCCACTATTCCTCAGGACAGATGTTCTGTGTGGCCTCGGAGGATCCGGGGTGCTCTGGGTCCCTTCTCTGTGGTGATGTCTGACAGTGCCACACTGATGGATGGCTCTTTCCCTGTGCCCCCCAACCAGGTCCGCTATACCCAGCTGGTGAGGAAGAAGCAGAAAGCCCAGCACCGCTGCATGCGGCGGGTGGGCCGCACAGGTTCCCGGCGCTCCGGCTATGCCTTCTCCCACCAGGAGGGCTTCGGGGAGCTCATCATGTCTGGCAAGAACATGCGGCTCAGCTCCCTTGCGCTGTCCAGTTTCACCACCCGCTCCAGCTCCAGTTGGATTGAGAGCCTGCGCAGGAAGAAGAGTGACAGTGCCAGCAGCCCCAGCAGTGGGGCTGACAAGCCCCTCAAGGGGTGAAGACTGGGACTGAGATGCCCTGTGCCAATGACCAGAGCACACAGGGCCAGCCGGTCGCCGAGGGAACAGTGTTTTGGAACTGTGGGTCCTCACTCCTTGCCTCCCGTCTCCCCTGGTAAACTCTATCCTGCTGGTCCCACCAGGAGTGGCTGGTGCGTCCCCAGCAAGGCCCTCCTACCAGCTGGGAGGCTGGAGAGAGCGAGCCCCCAGGGCAGAGCAGGGGCTGAGCCATTGAGAACCAGCCCCAGTGGGGGACCAGATGTGGAACCAAAACCAAGAAAAAACTGTGAGAGATTGGGTCTGTCCCTGCCCTGTCTGGGAGCCAACAGGGAGACTATAATCTCCATATTTTTTTACTCCTACTCCCCAGAGGGGCCCTCGTGGCCCTGTTCCTGAATTACACAAGAATGTATCATGCCGGGAAGCCAGAGACCTGCTGGGGCCTCTGGGCCCCTCACATCATGTATGTCTCTTCTCGATTTGTGTTTGTGTATAGTTTGGTTTTGTCTTTTTTATGTGGCAAGTGGAGAAGGCCTCTATGTGACTTTTATGTTGTGGTTGGTATCTTAACTCTCCTGGGAAGAGGCTGGCACACACTGGGGTGCCCCCACCTGGCTGGATGTGTGTGCTGGGGCGTGTTTGGGAGGAGCCACATCTCTCAGGTTGTCCTCCATTGGCTAGTGCCCTTGTGGGACAGAGGGGCCACCCAGGGAGGGAGGTCAGCCGGAGGGTATTGGGAAAGTATACAGGAGGGTTTGGTCCTGCCTCCTTCCTCACCTTGAGAGTAAAGTGCTGCACCCCTCCCCCACCACACACGTATATATCGATTCCTGGATTCTATAAGTCCTGCTGGTATTGGGCTGGAGCCTGGGAAAGTGGCCCGATCATTCTTAGTGAGCTAAAGCTGGGTATGGAATTTGGTCCTGGAAAACAAAAAGGTAGTTTTCTTTAATTTTAGATTTAGACACAAGTTCATTAGCAGACTTCCTCTGACTTTCCTTTTCCCTCCTCATCTATCACTTTCTTGTACCTACACCCCAGCACCCTGAGGTCATGCTGAAAGGGGAAGCTGGCCTCTCTGCTCCCTTCTCCCAGTAGACAAGGGGCCCCACCCCTCTAGGCCCAGCATTTGGCAAGAGGTGGTGGAGTCCTGTACTGGGTGGTGGTGCAGGAGGAGGAGGGCAGAATGGGCTTAGGCTAGGAGACTGCCTGCTCATCACCTGGCTTGACCTGGACGGGACTCAACTGGAGCCTCGTCACAGCCTGTCCTTTCTCCCCACCATCCACATCTATGAAGCTATTCCCCAAATTAGGTGTTTCCCAAGTTAGTTGCTACTAATCAGCCTTGGGAAGAATCCTTTCCTCTTCTTGGGATGTGTGTGTGTGCGCGTGCGCGCGCGTGGGTCGTGGGGCGGGGGGACTTCAGGAATGGCATGGAGCTGGGAGTGTGGTATGGGGATCTTAAATGTTGGGTGTGGGAGCCCCAAAGGAACTGGAGATGGGCTGCCGTGAGGTGGCGGTGGGGTGGACAGGGAACAGGGAAAGGGAAGTCTGGATGGGGAAATCCCTTTTGGCCACACAGTTTACAAACCTGATATCATGTCTGTTTGTCTCTCGAGGTGAGAGTCTGATTTTTTTTTTTTTTAAAAGATGACCGGTAAGGGGATCTTAACCCTTGACTTGGTGTCAGCACCATGCTCAGCCAGTGAGCAAACCGGCCATCCCTATATGGGATCTGAACCCGGGGCCTTGGTGTTATCAGCACCGCACTCTCCCGAGTGAGCCATGGGCCGGCCCGAGAGTCTGATTTTTATACCAAAGAGGAAGTGATTTTTTTTCAAATTAGGTTTGTCTATATTATATAAATAAATATAAATAAATAAATAAATATATATATATATATATACAGCTATATATATTATTTTTTTGGTTCTCTCTCGTTTTTTAGGGAGGGAGGAAAGTACCAAGTTGCATTGAGCTGTAATTAAGGAACATTCTGTATAATTTATGACACATTTCTATACTTGCAAAAATTATATCATTTTATGGATATAAGAGAAAATGCCTTTTTATAAAATTCCAATTTCTGAAAAGTGTGTAATTTGTCTTTTTTCTGATGTTTAACCAAGACTAGTGGTGAAGGTAAAGACAAACTGTCTCTTAAATGGAATAGAGTGGGTAGATCTGGGCTGAGGTGGAGAAGACCGACTTTGACTGTGGGGCACAGCACTCCTGTCTATACACCTGTTGGGATCTGAGTTTCAGCTGAAACATGGGGCAGGGGGCAGTGGGCAGTATTGAGAGGCAGATCGGTGGGGACTTTGTGTTCAGCTGATGACTGGTGCTTAGAACCTCGAACAGTCTGCTTTTCCAAACACAGGTCGACCTCATTCCTGACACATGCCAGATGGCCGGGTAGGGAAGGTACCAGGTAAATATTTTAAGTTTTATTTATTTATTTATGTTTTGACTCCCCTGTTCCTCCATGCCTTTTACGATGGCACTAGCCTCATAGCCTCACATCCTCCTGGTTTTTCAAGTTAGTATCAAGGAGCCTAAATATATACCAAGTCTCTGCTGGAACTTAGTGGATAAGGCGAGCTTTCCTCCAGGGAAGGGAGAGTGGGGTGAGGGCCAGGGTCCCAGGAAAGCTAGGGCTAGGGGTTAGTGCTGGACTGAAGACAATCGGCCAATGGCCAACATCAACAAAACCCAACCCTGCCCCCAGGCTGGTTTCTTCCTCTAACAAGTCTTTTCCATCATTCTGTCATGGGACGATCCTTTTTCCTCCTCTTCTTCTCAAAAACAGAGTTCCCAGTACGTACTAAGCTCAGAGGGAAGGCATAAAGATAAGATCAGCTTCTCAAGGAGAAATAGTTCAGGGCAGGGATGGTGCCACAGACCTGCCAGGAACACAGCCTGATCCCTGCCTCCCCACAGGGACAGCCTGTCCAGTACACACCAGCCTATCTCCAGGCTCTGTCTGGATCCCTGAGCTTTAAGCAGCAAGTGACAGCCGGCCTCAGTCTCCCCACCCCCAGGACACAGAGACAGGCCTTAATCCCTTGAGGCTGGTTAGGACCCTAGCTCTGTCATCCACCAAAAGGCTGATGCCCCCCATCCCACCCATGCTAGGTCCCAGCACTGCCTGTGCGTCCTGCTCCCACTTTCCCCCACTGCCGACTGACAGAGGTTTCAGAGGATGACCCCTGCTCCTCACTGATGCGGGGTCTTCCTCTCACCCAGGATCCTGTTAGATATATTTGAGGGGCAGGGCCAGCATTATTTTTACTCTCATTGCTACTTGCAGACATTTTTCCTTCCATTTTTGTATAAACCTCCTTTGAGTCTCCTGCCACTCAGATTTCCCATTTTCTCCCCTCCTGGCAGCAGGATCCTTTGATCTCCTACTTCTTTCCCTGTGCTTGTTGAGGACTTGGGCGCCTGCCTGATTGTCTCTTTTCCCTAGTCCCACCATCATCCTAGTGCCTTGCCCAACTGTGAGGATGAGTCTGTCTGACACCCTAGCTTCGTTCCTCCTCGGCCTCCTCATTTTAAGGGCATTCACCTCCACTCCACCAAAGCAGCACATGCCATGGGCACCCCACTGCCATCAGGAGTAGCTCCACCTCTGGAATATCACAATCCAGTATTTGACCGTCCACGTTCTTGGGCCTTTCCACCTTCCACATGTTCTCCCAGCACATACTCCTTGTAAGGCCCCATAGAAGACCCCAAAGGAGGCACTCCCTAAAACATGGTGCTTTTCTCTTCCGGGTCCTAACAATCTCGGCGGCGCCAAGGTGCAGCCTATCAGAAATCATTACCTGCCCCCGGCCAATCAACTACCGCCCCGTGTACTAACCACCCTCTCCTGGAACCCGGCTCTATATAAATGTATGCTTCTCCCCCAAATAGAGCGAACTTCTCCGGTGAACTGTCAGCTCGGGTCCTGTTGTCCTTTCATTGGTGCCGAAACCCGGGAAGGAGCTCACCCCTTACCCAAGGGGACTCCTTCTTGGACCTCCTTCACTCTCTCGGTGGTTCCCGCTGCTGACGCTTCACCCTCGTCCGTTTTCTCTGGTGTTGGCTCTCCGCACCCACCACTGGCTCACCTAAACGTAAGTCTCTCTCCGGGGGCGCCATCTTAGGCTGGGCTACCGTAATCATCTGGTATCCCTCTGACACCCAGCCCTAAGACAGAGAATACACCCCACCATGGCCTTCAGGGCACTGGGCAGACCCCTAGGTATTCTCTCGTCACATTAGGCAATCCACATTCCCCTCCTTTCCCAGCCCAATTAAAGGCGACCTCTTCAGGGTGAAGCTCCCATTCTCTTGCTTTTTCCTTCAATCTGGTATTTCTGTTTCTCCGAGCCCAGGGCTCCCAAAAATCCTGGCGCTGGGTTCCTTCGAGCCTCCAGGCACTCGCCCTCACCGAGGTGATGGATGGTAAAGTGACGA